ATAGCATACATTATACGAAGTTATACTAAGGCAAAGCGGCCATCTCTCAGCAGCAGCAGCCAGCAGCAGCAGCAGCGAGGCGGCGCGGCGGCGGCGGCGCAGCAGAGCCAAGCGCACGCAGCAGCAGCAACAGCAGGAGCAGCAGCAGCAGCAAGCGCAGCGCCATCCATCTCCGCCGGCGGCGTTCCTTTGGCACGCCCGCTCGCCTCCTCCTTCGCCATCATCGTCTCGCAATCTTTCCGTCGTCTCATCATCATCCCCCGCCTTGGCCCTTGCCGCCGCTTCCCACCGCCGGTCGACCTCCTGGCTTCATCGATCCCCTCGTCGTCCCTGTTCGTCCCTCCGTGCCGCCTTTCGACTCTCGCCATCGGCATCCCTTCGACCGCTTGGCCGTCATCTTGGGTTCGACGCCTCCTCTTCGACGTCGCAGCGGCTTTCAGCACGGGCGAGAGCGATTGCCGGTGTAGCATCAGCCGCCATCGCCGCCACTCTTCTTCGAGATCGCTGCCTCGTCTGCACCGCTGTGTTCTCGCATTTTTCTCTTCCTTCGATCCCCCTCCCCCGTCACTCGGCACCAGCAGCGGCGTACGGACATCTCTCGCCATATCCGTCTGCCCAGTCCCACCTCAGGTTGCAAGGCCTGTCCGCCGTTATCCCTGGACCCGTCCCATCCGCCTTGCTCCTTTGACCCTAGAGATCCGCCTCGCCTCACATCGGAACGCCTGCCTCTGTGGTGACGGCTGACTCGCTGCCGCGTACCCCGTCTCTGCCGCGCCTGGTCGATACACTTCGAGACGTAGAAGTCGTCGCTGGACGCGGGTCACTGCGACCATCGCCGCGACTGATCTTTCGAGCGGCCCGTCACGGCAGACCGTCCAACGAACGCGCTCACCCAGCTCGGACCATTGCGCGCCCCCACCCGTCGCCGGTTACCGCCCTGCGCTGAGCTCGCTCGTTTTGGCCGCGCTCTCGCATCGACACACAGTAGCTGATCGGCTGCCTCCGGTATTGACAGTCGATCGCGTCGCTCCGTCGGCACTCTCTCGGCATCCGTGCTCGCCCGCACTGCCCAGCCCCTCCGTTCGGCTCTCGCTCGGTCTGATCCCGGCTGCAGCCAGGCCGCAGACGACGGTGAAGACGACCACGAAGACGACGACAAAGTCACCCACGGCGCTCTGTCTGCTGCCTGGAGATGGGCCTGAACCCCGCCAGCCCCTCGACAGCAACAGCAGCAACAGCCGCCGTTCCGAATCCGCCGCCATCTCAGCGGCCCGACAGCATGCTCCACGCACGCCAGGCGAGCGGGCCAGGCTCCACCGACGCGATGGAGGTCTATGATCGCTACCAGGGCGGTCACCATGGCGAGCCGGAACGGACGGTGGGCGCCGGCTTCCTCGCCAACGGAGCCGTGCCGCCGAGTGCCACAACCGCTCCTGCGGCAGATGCCTCCCGTGACCACGGCCTGATCAGCGTGCCAGAGGACTCGCAGCTCACTACTGCGACGGCCGCGGCCTCTAGCCCTCTGGCCGCCTCCGACGTCTTTGGGAGCCCGACACCGGCCTCGCCGCTCGCACCCGACCAACGCGGGCCCGACTCGGCATCGCCCTCCAAACCCCACTTTGGCCTCGTCCAGGCGGCCGGCCGACCCGAACTCGAGGCGCGGCGGCTGTCGGACATGTCGAAGCCGTTGCCGACCTTGCCCGCTGCCGCAGCTGCCGAGCAGCTGCACCTTCCCGCTCTGGACCCGAGCTCTGGTGGCGCGGTGCTGCCGGATCGCAGCGCGGTGCACGGCAGCCTCGTTGACGCGCGTGGCGCCGGCGTCATGGCCACGGCGCCGCTCCCGGCGGCGGCGCTG